ATATCCATTGGAATACAAGCCTTTAGACACAAGAATAAACTTTTTTTTTCCAAGTTTATCTGGTCCTACTTCACGATTGAAGAATAACACCAAACTTCAGAATTTTGTATACACCAAGAAAAAGTGATTAACCCAAGGGAGATCCTGGAGGTTTGGGCAAGTCTCTACAAGCTGTTGCTATTAAGGTCAAGGTAAGTCTTAAGTTACAAGAAAGTTGGTACAAACCCATTACCTTCCATGCAACTGAAAATCTGCTCTTCTGCAATCATGAGGATTCCAGGAAGCCCCAAAAGCTAGCATACACTTACACCAAAAAAAATAGCTGGGTAAATTCCCATGATACCAGAATACTGGGTAATTTCCAAGGGCAGAGTATTCCAGAAAAATGCAAATAGTTCAGGTTCTCCCAAAGAAATTCCAGGCAAATATAGAGCTGCTCTTTAGAAAAGTCTAAACACAAACTGCAGTTCTGGAGTTTGGATGAAGTCAAAAGCACAAAGACAGGAAAAACATTTCTGGCCTACAGGGGATTCTAACTTATCATTGAATTCTTTTCTCTCATCCCCATTTCATATTCCTTGTGCAGAGCATAAAATGCAGTGATATTTGCTACTACCCTTTTAGCAATTTTCAGGTCTCAAATAACTTCAATTTGTTTTAAGTTTACATGAAAATTAAAATGCCTTCTTTTCAGTACTCAAAAGGATACCTCAAAAAAAAAGCTACTGCCAAAAATTACTCTTCCCATCATCTCCCCAAGAATTCACCACTCAGCTAGTTCATAATAAAGTAGTCTAAAAATCTCTTTTAACAACTCTAAAATACTATAGCAAAAACATTATTTTAAATGAAGTGTTCCAAATAATATTAAAAAGACTCAACCACCACTGGAGCCCACAATACTACTACTCCCCAGGCTTTAGAAAGCTTTCTATGTGAGAAAGCTGGTCATGGAAATGAAGTTTCACTATTTATAAATATTGCACTGGTTTAAAAGATTCTGGGTTTTCCAAAAGTCTTAGGTTCCACTTTATTTAAAACATTATGACAGTTCTAGCCAATGCTAAAACAAGTGTAAGACAGATGTCACATACATCCCCACAAATAGGAAAGGCACATTCCTCAAATAAACCAGTTTCTAAGGAACTACATCAAAAGATAAGTTTTTAGACACTAACTGCTTTTCAATTACTCTGTCCTATACAGCAAATGACTTTTTTAAATTCTCAAGCAGGCCCCAGGAAGCAGAGTACAAGAAACTATATTTAATTAACGATTCAGTCTAATTCCCAGTAGTAAATCGGAGGAAATATTTTGTTCCAAAGCAGCCTCTCCTCAGTCCTAAAACAGTTAAGTACGGGTTCATTTGCATTTTAAAACTGGATTTTTAAGTTAAAAGTCATAGTAAAATTTCTCCCTTTTATAAATTTATGATCTTTTAGATCTGAGAGTAAAACTTGGTTTTGCAAAGTAACTCATTTTTATGAAAACTCTAGCCAGAAGACTAGTTATGAGTTAGAACAGTTCAGGTTGTTTCCTTTCTTCTTAAAATACCCTTTTACTCAAACTGAAAACACACTCTGACTTGCACCCACTGACTCCCATTACACCTGAAACATCTACTCATTTAAGAAAGGCAGCCTGCTTCCTCCCAAACTCCACTAGGTTCAATGGGAACTGTTGCTGGGCCTCTAGTTTTAGACACTTACAGGTCTCCTGGCCACAGTAAGAAAAGAAAAAAAAATGTAATAAAATAATTATTCTTTAAAAAAAATCAGAACAAGAACCTACTAAAATGGTCAACAATGTAATATGACCTTGGAATCTATTTTTATTTTTTTTAATTTAAGTTATACTCCTAGCTTAAGAATACATTGGCAAAGCAAAACTAAAAATATCCTAAAACATTGCCTTCTCTATCTTTAAGGAACTCCAGCAAGCTGAAGTAGGTTGTATGCAATTCCAAGGACATAAAAGAATGGTAATAAGGAATACTCCCCCCCCCCACAAAGGATTTTTCAAATAGTAAACGCTTTATAACAGCTGAAATAGGATTGATATAGGAGCAAGTCAGTCAACTACTTAAATTCAAATGTTAAGTAAAATTGGATTTGGCTGACAATCCCGATTTTTTTTACTTAAAATATGTAATAGGTCAAGCTTAAAGAATGTATTTTACTTTTTTGAAACACTCGATAAAATTGCAGGTAATGCCTAGTAATGAAGTTAGAAGTGACACCTTTAAAACACACTTTGGAAAAAATAAAATATCTCTTGGCTCCTTTTCCAGGAACTTCAACATGAAATGAATAACATGACCTTTTTGACACACATTAAGCACAGGGAAGTCTGTAAAACAACCTTGGTGTAACAATCCCGCGGCAAAGACCGATCTTTATGAAGCAGTACCGTCAAGAAGAGAAACAAGAAGGGGTGAGAAAGGTGACTGTTCAACTGAAGAGCCCTTGTACCAATCCCACCACCTGTGACAGAAACTGTCAATATGGGGAGGCCGCGTGGCCCGTAGACTTCCCGGTCAGGCTGCCAGTTCTTCCTAAGGACAGCAGGGCCTTCACCGCCTCGGGGTGCGGACGGGCCAGTCCCTACCCTGTGCCTCTAGGCTCCACAAATCCACAATCCTCCGTCGAGGCAGGAGGTCCTGGCCAGTTCTCCAGGCGCGCACTTCAACTTCGACTTCTCCCAAACACTAGTCACAAAGCTCCGGGCTCTGCCCCTCAGCGCTTCACATCACTTCGGTGGGAGGCAAGAGAAAGCGCACGACATTCCCAGCCCCTGGCTAACTACAATCCTCACACACTCCAGATCAAGTTTGGGGGCGGTTCCCTCCATGAAAAAGTGCTGGAACCCGGGGCCCGGACGCGCTGGCCCTTTAAAGGCGCTCGCTTCCTGAGCCCGCGATCCCTCCCTCGCCGCCGCCAGCTCCCGCCCCCGCCGAGGGTCACACTTGAACTTTAGCTCGCCCAGCGCGGCCAGTCGCCGGCGCTCCACGAGCCGTGGCCGCCCCTTCGCACGTGTTGGAGGCGCTACCTCGGGCTCCGCGCGCCCGGACCCCTGCATTCGGGGCCACTCTGGATAAAACCAAAAACAATGCAAAATGCGCACTGGCCTCCAGAACCTGCGCGGCGCGTCGCGCACCATCCCCAACCGGTTGTGCCCTACACCTGCAGCCTGGGGGCCAGGAAGGGTTTCCAGTGCCCCTTGTAGTGCTCCGCTGGGCCCCGCGCAGCGGAAACAGATCGGCAGCGCTGCCCAAGGCTGGAGGAACGCGCACCGCGGGGGCGAAAAGGAGCCGCCCTCCCCTCGGAGGTGCTAGAGAAGAAGCCCTTTGTCATTTGACTCTCAAACTTCTCTACCCATCCCGATGTCCACTCCGTGGCATTAATTTCGTCACTCCTTAAATTCAAAACCCTGTTCCCTGTCCCACCAGAACTCCCTTGCGCGAGCGCACACACACTAGTCCCCCGACCAGTCCGGAGCAAGCCCCCTACCACACCTGCCACTCTTGTCCGCTCTCTCCGCACGCGCTACTCTCCTACCCTGCGCTTTCAGAGGCAGGGCAAACCTGCACAGCCTTCCCTTCACCTGCCCCACGGCGCCCCCACGCTCTGGCCGCGCGCCCTGAGGTCGCTCACCTTCCAGCCAGCGGAACTGTTGCTGTCACCCTTATCTTTGAAGTAGGGCACGCTCTTGACCATCCACTCGTAGATCTGCGACAGTGTAAGCCTCTTCTCAGCCGAGCTCTCGATGGCCTTGGTGATAAGGTCGGCGTAGGACAGGTTGCCCCACGCGTTGCGGCGGGACGAGCTGCTCTTGCGAGGCTGCCCCGCGAGCGGCCCCGCGGCGGGGGGAACCGGAGGGTGCTGCGACAGCGGCCCGGGCGGCGGAGGCTGCGGCGGCGCCGGA